TTTTCCCACACTGCACCACAAACAAAGAGCGAGAGCAGCTACATTTTGGGATGGTGTGAGGAAGTCTGATATATTGGTGGTTGGACTGGGGCCCTCATAAAGCAGTGTAGACCCTGGAGCCCCAGGCTGGGACTCGATCCAACAACTCCTAATCTGGGGTTACAAATGAGTGTAGACGCTCTAGCCATAGGTCAACAAACCCAGGATCTGCTCACTTGAGCTCTACTAACCCAGAGTTTACATTGCAGTATAGACATACCCATGGTATCTGATATGCAGGGGTTTTGAGATGGGCGGAGGTGGGAGCAAGGAGATTGGGAGATGCAGAGAGGAAGAATACTGAATCGGGGCTCAGTGAAAGTATCAAAGCATGGCATTGGCGATGAGCATCGCATGGTGGGAACTCGGGTGAAAAAGGCTGAGAGAAACATAGCAGGGAGAGAGAAACAGAGACAAGAGGACAGAGACATAAGAAAACGTATCCCATGAGAGTGAGTGTCACTCTCAATGCTTGCAGAATAACCATGTCAGGCACTAGACAGCGGAGTTCAGGATTGTGTCTCGTTGGAGATGGCTGACCTTACAGCGCTAAGCTAGAAAGCTCATGGAAGATACCAGCTTGCATGTCCTGCAGCTTTTCCAAATGAAAACAGAGGAGGCTGCACTGTGAAACCCCTGAGAGCATGTAACCTCACTGAAATACCTATTTCAGGAACGTTTTTGTAGAGCTTTTTTAGCACTACAAAGGGTAGGTCCGCAGATTCTCAGAGTGGGTCCTCATCTGTCTGTAGCTATAGAGGGCTCCTCTCAACCCTTTCCCGACTGCTCAGATGACAGGTTCTGAGGCTGGCGGAGAAAGATCCAAGCAGGAAGCCAAGGCTGTGTTCCTCCTGCTCTGTGTCCCTGCCAGAGGCTGCAGAAGGAGAAGTTTGTGCTTCGTGCTCTGCAGCTGTCTCATCCATCGGGTCCGAAAGGTTTCGCTTTGTCCGCCTGACCCCAACTGAGGGGCCAGTTCCCCACCTATGGTGAGTCTGACAACCAGGCTGCAAATGTCTAAAGGACGGCAGGAAAATGAAGAGGGCCCTTGGTTACATCAATGGGCAGCAGCCCAGCACAGGGAAACCATGAAGAGGATTGGCTGAGTCTGCCACAGGCAGAGCAAGAAGTGGCTGGTAAGACCTGACCATACACCTTCCTGCAGCCCAGGTCTCATAACCACCCCCCTTTCCTTTGTTGGGGATTTTCAGGGGAGAAACCACAAATTCTCCCAGTCTTGAACACAGCAGATTCTGCAGACAGCGGTAATAATTCCTGCTCACTCAGAATAGCAGAGCATGCCACTATCGAAATTTAATCTGAATTCTTCAGTGCAAACCTAATCATATTTCACTCATTTTCCTTTATACTTCTGCTGAAGATAAATGCACTCCCTTCTGCATCAACAACAACTCAGAATCCATAAGCCAGCATTTTTCACCTGGGACAAGGAACGTAGGAACTTGCACTTTGTTACATATCTCATCCCCTCCCTTCAAACAATCAATACAGTTCTCAGCATATGGCTCTTTTCAAAGGTTGTGTACAGTTTCCATTTCTAAATGATATGCTAGCATTAATTTTTCTCAGCCCTGACCTGGCTTTGTTCTGAAGAAACCTTATCCTGGTAGAGAGTCTCTTTCCCCATTCCACTGCAAAATCCAGCAGCTATGTGAAACCCTCTAATTGCCACCTCAGTGAAATACAGAAACACCTTGCAAATGGCAAGCGTGGTTTATGCTGTTCCAAACAGCATAGCTGGGACATTTACGTGATTGTACTATCTGTTTGATATGATCCCTCTAAAGTCATGTCTCCTTCTGCACCTCGCACTAATAATTCATACAAATCTGTTTGGATTTTGCATTATCCCTTCTTCTTTAGTAGCAATCACCCCTCTTGGGCTGTCAGATGACTACACAATCCGTTGCTGGAGAGGAAGGTGTCTGGGAGTTATGGGAGAAGGGGGAAATAATGGACAGCAGTGTTCTGTTTTATGCAGCTTAATTGAAGCACACTGTTCACCTCAGCGTAGATGTTGCCTGCTTGGATTGTCTAAGTGTTCTCTAGTCACTCAGTCCTGGAGGAGTTGATTAGCAGGGTTCAGAGAGCAGCACCCCATCCCAAGAGACCCAAAGGTGTCATGGGGAATTCCAGGGGGACCCAAGACAATGTATATATTTAAAGACCAGTATAGTTCTTTCACCCTTCCTGATCCTCAAATTCCTGAGGCCAGCCTCACCTGTAACCCTCAGGACCCTCTGCTTCAATGTCTGTCATGGCCTCTCTCCCCACAGCACAAATGCCACCACCCTCCTCGTTCTTTCCCAGCCCTCCCCTTACACCGAGCCGTAGATGACAGCCCTACACAGAGCGACTGTAGGCTCTGTTCCATTCTGCCCCTCGCCTGAAAGCCCAGCGGAATGCCACCATCCCTTTGCTGTTACTGTCTTGCATAGGGAAAAACAACAACATGAGATGGAGGTGAGATCGATTGGAAACTCATTCCCAATGAGAGCACTCACCTGGACACGAAAAGAAACCTTCCCTTCCATTGGAGTACATGTGTGAACACACACACACCAGATCTTAAATTAAACATCTGGAGACAGATCCTCTGCTGCTGTAAACTGTCATAGCCTGTTGACTTCAATGGAGCTAGAACAACTGAGGACCTGGGGACTGTATAGCCTTCAAAACTTTGCTTCAGCAAAGTAAACCTACCTGCCTTGCGCTTTGCAAACTTGAGAATCGTTCTGAATGTTCAAAATGGCATTTTGCATTTAAATGTGGTATTTGATTATACATTTATATTTACAATCCCCCCACACACATCTTTTTTCTTCAAGTAATTATAGCTTAAATGAGCCTAAACAGCCTGTCTTAATAAAAGATTTGACTTTCTCTCCCAAGCTAAGATGAAATGTTTTTAATTTGGGCCATTTCTGCTGTGTTCTGATGCATCTGTATACCTGTCTTGTTGTATAAAAGCCATAAGAAAAACTCATACCGAATTTTGACATATATTTTGTTTGCTATTATAATTTGTCAGACATTTCATTACATCTTGGAAACACACAACTAAACAATTTCTAAAGGAAATAGACTATTTGCAGTCATCTGCTGGAGGCCTGCAGCCAATAATTCACACCATTTGTCAAAAAGATTTTTCACCTCTAAGCACAAGGAGCTTTGGGGACGGTGTGCAGCTATCATGTGAGTAGGCCTGGAGCCTGGGAGCGCATTACAATGCTATGCTGGAGAGAAGATGAGGACTGATAGCTATGAAGATCAAATCTGAATGGGCAGAGGGTGGAATGTGCATTACTTCAGTAGTTTAATGCCTGATCAGTGGGATTTTGTGATGGTTAGTGGAAAAGGCAGGGGCCTCCCATCGATCAAATAACAAATCTGAATATGTTGAAATAGAGGTTCAAATTATTTGCATTTTTTTCCCTATGGAAGGAATTTGATTTGTCTTATTATCCCTTGCAAGACCCAGGGCCAGGTTTGCAAAAACAGAGGTGAGATCCACCTGCAAAAAATTGCCTCTCCCAATTCAGTAGCACTCTGGGCTGTATATCACCCTGCTGGTCCCAGCCAGGTGGAAGGAACCGAAACCATCCCTCTGTTGTGCCTCATCTCAGGGAGGAGGCAGAACCAGCACCAGATAGAGGTGGGATCAGTGGAGAATACATGCCAGGCAAGAGTCTTCACCTGGCAACACCTCCCAGCAGCCAGAAACTCTTCTTTCTAGCAGTAGAGCAACCCCCGAAATTCCCCACCATTACCACCTTTTATCTACCCTGGGAAACTGCCGGTTCCCAGTTGGCTTAAACACCTGGGGGCTAACCAATGGTCAGATATTGCAAACTTTCTAGATCTCCTAAGTTAAGATTTTCAAAGCCACTTAGGAGGTTTGGACAGCAATTTCCATTGCCTTTAAAAAGGAATTAAAATCTCTTAGGCAACTTTGCAAATCTCAGCCATACTCTTTATCTCAGCAACCAAAGCATCTACTTGCTAACTTGAGTATTGTTCTGAATATTGAAAATGACATTCGGCGTTTGTATATTTTCTTAGCTGATACACTTAACTTTGCAATTCGCACTCCCGCACCCACACATACTTTTTTCAGGTAATTACATCTTAAACTAAACTAGAACACCTCTCTGAACAAATGACATGACTTTCAAAAGGTAAAGGTGAAATATTGTTAATGTAAGCCTATTCTGCTTTTTTTTGATGCATCTGTATTCCTGTCATATGATATAAAAGATATGAGAAAAACTCATATAAAATTTGACACTGGTAAAGTACTTTCCATAACTTTTTAAATAGCTTTCTTTCTCACTATTGTTTATAATTTCAGGGAAGCGCCAGAGAATTGCATTGTCTTTGCTGAACCATATATAAAACAAAAGAGAGAGATTAAGTTACACAGTGCACTTAATTACAGTGCCGTGACAGAAGTAACATAAGCACATAACTACAACAACTGTAATTTGAAATTGGTTTTTATAAAGTTAAACCTCATTTTACTAGTCTGATAACTGAAGAATTAATGTCTTCTATATGTGAACTCATCATGAGTGGAAAGGTAATATCAACATACGGATACATTACAGTGAGCAGTTTCATGTTAACACAGAATGTCACCTTATCATCTCTCTGTCTGTCTCTGAGCAGAGATGACTAGCCTAAAAGGGCATCTTTCATCTGTGTAAACGGTTTACCAGGGGGCATTGCAGATTGCTTGGAACAGAATTTTCTCACAGAAATGGAGTTAAAAGGATAATACAAGTAATTGCATTATGCAATGCCTCCCAGTGTTTTACATGTTCTTCTGCACTGGAAAAAACAACAACAATAACTTTTGTTTCAGTTTTTGACAGCCTCACTCGGGTATTTAGAAATCATAGCTAATAGGGTTTTTTTTGTGTGTGCGTGTGTGTGTATTTCAGGATGGAATGGGGAACCTGAGAATCACAGAGAAAGGTCTGAAGCTAGAAGGAGATTCAGAATTCTTGAAACCTCTCTACGCCAAAGAAATCCGGTCCAGACCAGTAAGTTATCCAGAAAAGCAAAAGAATGATCACATTTCTGTACTCTAAACACTAGAAAATATATCCGTAACAATGGCACCCTGCCACTTCACATCTATAAATTAGCTTGGCTACACTATGCAAGGCTAATTTGGGGAATGAGCCAGTAGCGTGTTTGTCGTGTAGTTACATGTATTTTTGCATGAGGAGAAGGCAGTGTTGTTTGAAGAGCAGATAAAATGCTTCCAGGACATCTAAGATTTCAGATAGACTTTTCTCCTCCTTTTGATGTAGGACACGTATTAATAAGAAGTCCTCATTGCAGAATTCCTCACTTTTCATGGGTAGAGAGACGGCAGATAGTTGTGAAATCCACCCTGCAGTTTATCAATACTGCTGAGACCATAGATGTGTGATCAATACATATGGGTCTGATTCAGCCATGATTAATCACCGTAAACTCTTTCTTACCGTGGGCTCAATTCTGCAAGGTGCTGAGGACTCAGCAATTTTTGTAATTACATGCAGCTAAAACTAACAGCAAATGTGGGAAAATTAATAAAAGTCTAAATCAAGTGTGATTAAAATAGCAGCATCTTTATGGTAAAATTTAATTTACTGTCAGCTCTTTCTGACCATCCTCCTGCAACTTTGTTTGGCATAAGCAACTTTGAAAGACTGAATAGGTTATGTGCAGCATCTGTTTCCTATTGATACTTCATGGAAGGCATCAGACATCCTGTTTCCTGTTCAGAAATGTTAATTTGAATTGGATAGCAACTTCCCACTTGATGACAGTGGCAGATAGCTAATTAAATATTAACATCTCTGTATCTCTACATTTCAGTGGTCTTGTAGCAATTGGAACTGTTTAGAGTAATCAGTGCAACATCCAATACAATATTCGATGTAATTACTGAAGGTTGTAACCCCTTTAGAATGGCCGTTGATTGGTTTGTGCAATCATTCTAGTTTAGGAAGAGAAGCGAATGAAAAAATACTGATATCTATAAATGTTGCCATGTGGGATTTAAAGGAGAGCCTTAGAACCCTGTACATGTAAATTCATTCTCTAAGCATGGAGTACATGAAGAAATGCATCATATAAATACATTTATTTTGTTAGATTTTGGAAACGCTCTTTGTTTTCTTAAAATCAAATATTAAGCTGCATTTATTGCTACTGGGAAGTTCATTCTTTAGTCCTCATCATCTTAATCTACATATCAGTATGGTGGAGGGACAAAAGATATCTTCTCATGCTAGTTGAAGCTATAATACCAGACTGCATGCTATGATTGGTGGTTTTATGAAGGCCAAACGGGAGGTAATACAAATCCTGTGGGAATGTTACTTCCATAGAGGACTTTTCCCTCCTTCCATTGTATCGCTTTTGTTCTGAGAAGACTTTAGCTGTGAATCCAAAGGGCCAGATCAAAAACCCAGTGATATCTATGAGCGTCTTTCCACTGACTTCAGTGAGCGGTGGATCAGGCTCACCATCTGTATGGAACTTTACCACATGAACAGCTCCACTGACTTCCCAGTGAAGTTGCATGGGGGGTAGCCAGCGCAAAAATTATCCAGATCTTTCCAACGGTCAGACCGCATTCAGACCTGGTGGTTAGCAGGTGCAACTCTGGTTTCAGTGAAATTGTGCTTTCTTATGCCAGGATTCTGAATTTGATTCACCATATCCAAGTGAGACTGCTGCATAAGGTGATCCTTTTGGAATAGATGCAAGTACTTCTAAATTACCAGAACTATAATCTTCCATATACTGGCAGTAACTTGTTTCTGCTCTAACCAAAGCATTCTTGCAAAATGAAATGTATCACCAATTACTGAGCTTGAGGGATATAGTAAAAGCTAAGTGCTAAACTCAGTTCTCAGTTGCATCTCTGAAAATCAATAATAATTCCATTACCATTGAGTTACTTAGGATTTTTGCTAGTGCAAAATGTGGTTTTAAAAATGCACAGTGTAAGAGACAAGAACTTTAAATAGCGGTAAACAATAAAACATGCCAAGACTATGTTAATGTATAATATTTTCATGTGTTTTAGTAAACAACCTAAGAGTGCAGACTGCTAGCTTAGCTAATGGTTTTATTTATTGCTCAACAGACTTGCAAATTATGGTTATTTATAGTAGATGAAGTACAGCAAAAGATAGAGAATGATATTTCAGTGTAATTTCATCTAGTAGCATAGTTACACAATCAATTCATTGTTAACTGTATGTAGTAGAGATCATGGGGCCAGACTCGTGATGAGGGTAGTTACACTCCCATGATCTCAGTGAAGTTGTGCCAGTTCTCCATTTGATCACATGGGTGAATCATAGAGTACTCCCTATCTTTATGAATCTCTCTCTCTCTCTCTCTCTCTCTCTCTCTCTCTGGATAGAACGGGGTAATCCCTGTGGAAATGTCTTAGGAATGCATCTCGATAACTGATGGCAGCCTCAGTTCATGCTTTGAGCAGGGGGATGGACTAGATGACCTCCTGAGGTCCCTTCCAACGCTGATATTCTATGATTCTGTTATTCATCAGCCACTTCTTTCCTTCTCAGATGCATCTTTAATTCCATCATAGATCATGATTAAAAGCATCTACATTTTCCTTAGAAATCAGAGCCTCAGGCCTAAAGATAGCAGAAGTTCTCCATTAAAAGATACATTTAATTTTCACTGGAGGGCCAGATTGCCCCCTCTTGGGGAAAACCATGGGCTAGGAAGAAGGAAAACCCCACAAGGTGTACAGGAACCCTTTGGCTGCTCTAATTTACCCTGAAGCTGAAGCAGCTGTGGTGGTTTCAGAATAAGGGAGATGTAACTGGCTACCTGATGCCCCTCACCCTTTGTGCTGAGTGGTTGAGTTCAATCCGATCGCCTCTGGAAAGGTGTCCCACAATTGAGGTCCTGCCACTGAAATTGCACCCGAGCATAGTCCATAGTCTACAGGTAGCGCTGATGCATGTGATTTATCATGATCAAAGGGAGACATGTTTGTAGGATCGCCTTTATGAAATACTGTCAGTATATTACTGGGCATCAGAGCATCACGGGCAGTTTCGTGAATGCTGAGGCTGTTCTAGTAGTAATTTTGAGAAACTAGTACTAATTTTGCTGCAGTGATGGGTGTATCCTTTAGCCTTGTTTTAAAGGGAAATGATAGATGCCCCAGGTTCTCCAGAAGTGAGCAGAGCATCTTCAACTCCTTGCTGAACATATTGTACACTAAACTGTATTTTCCATGCCACTTGCATGCAACATGAGCATCTTGCTGCCTTTAATTAAGAAGTTAACTGGACCATGAAGTATTGCCTGAGTAAATATAAGTGATTTGTACTTCGCCAAGAAGGCACATTAGGTATCTTTTCATTTCTTTACTTGCACATAAATTATGGAGATTATTAAAAATTGGAAGGGTCATCTCTAAGCCCATCTGCAGCCCAGATTCATTGTTGCTCTCAAAAGGTAACTGTCTTTCCAACAGTTGTAATTTATTGTGGACAATTGTGTGAACCATCTGCTTATCTTTTAAAATAAGACAGATAAACTTCTAGTGAAAGTTGCACAGAAGATCACAAGTGTTAATTTTATGTGCTGGAAAGCAGTTATAACAGGTTTGTGTGTGTGTGTGTGTGTGTGTGTGTGTGTGTGTGTGTGTGTGTGTGTC